AAAAAGAAAAACGCAAGACCATTTTATAAAAATTATTTAGAAGTAAAAAACTGGAACAAAATGCATTTAAATGCCTATGTATGTATTTCAAAGCTAGCTGCTTTGCTGTAAGGAATCTTAAAGCGTCTGCGAAGGATATCGAGGACTCTGATCACGTGAACGCGCTTGACGGAAGCGATCGTCGGTGAGATTGTGACGCAGTTCCTGATTTTGTATTTGATATTCGTGCGTCAGTGTTTCCTGTTGGTGGCGACGTTCGCGTTCGGTGTCAAGCTCGCGCTGTGCGTTGAAAATGTTGAAAAATATATAAAAGTTAGTCGGGCTGTCAAAGCGCGTAAGTACTACTTAAACTTACCAACAAATCATCATTTTGCTGCCGCAAACGCACCAATTCTAGACTCAATTTACTATCGACTTTAATTTGTTCTTCAAGATCGCGCCGCGTTTTACTGAGCAACTCCTCAAGCGTTTCAGAGGAAACCTTCTGGCCGCTGCTTGTTTTCTCTATGTCCATGCGCAATTTTTCATTGTCACGTTCAAGCTGAAGAAATTAAGTAAATTTTTAAAAAGGAAATCAATTTAATTTGGATATTTTCTTTCCCATACTTTGCGCTTTATCTCATTTAACTCTGTCAGCTCAGCATTTAACTTGTCTTTTTCAATGTCCAGCTTGTCGCAAAGCTCTTTACGTGCAGCCAAATCAACCTTGAGTAAGCGTTGCTCATCGAGAGCTTCCTCGAGTTGGCGTTCAAGTTTGGCATTTTGTGCAGTTACTGCAGCTAACTGAAAGAATTCGAAAATGTTTATCAACAATTTTATGTGCGCATGTCGTGTTGTCTTTAAATACATACCTTATCCTCTAATTGTTCGATATGTCTATTGCGGCAGCAAATTTCCTTCTTCAGCGCATTTATTTCATCTTCTAATTCAGTAATTTGGCGTCTTAAATGAAAACGAGGTTAATAGCTGTAAATTCTTTGCCCATTGTTTTCTGTACTTTAACCATGGAGCTTCAACATTAAATTCTTGTGTATACGGGTGTGTAAATCAAGATAAAAATAACTACATACTGCTAAAAAGAGGTTATGTTAACAATTGTCTTTGGTAGCTCAAAATGTTACAGAGAGAAAGTATTTAGCGTATATGCCTTGCGCAGCAACAACAACATCTACGAAAGTCAAGCACGTACATATATACATTAAATAAAAATAGAAAGAGTAGAAGAAGAGGAAGTAGAAATTCAGTGTTATTATAGTCAATTAATTTTTTGCTAAGCTAGTAATCTATAATGGGCAATAAAGTTTAGCGTTTTATCATAGCAATTACTTTTGTTCGGCAGCTTCGACTTCTAGACTTTGATTGTTGCCCTCCAATACGACGGCGTCATGTGAAAGACTACGATAATGTTCCAGCATTTCCTCGCGTTCCTTTTCCTAAAAAGGTGATATACACAAAAATAAAACTTATTTTTCGAAATGGGGTTTCTAAAAAATATTTTCATTTTGGATGGACAACGCTATTTCACACGTCTATTATTGCTACTTCTGAACTATATTTCGTTAATAAACAAAAAAAAAAAACAGTCGGACTAGCCATATTGATCTGATTACATTCGAAAGAAGTATGTTGCTATACTGAAAAGAATGCAGTACTTTCAAGAAAAAACTAAAAGAAACTTCATGAACCCGATATGCATGCAAGTGTTTTGGGTCAGGAAGCCAGGATTGCGTTCTTCAAGAGAACACAATCCAAAACATTGAAGTCGATTGTGTTTCATTGTCTTGTTTAGCGCTGGAACCGCTCATCGTCGGACGTCTCTCACACCAGCGGAATCAACGTTGAATACTTTCTTGGCTGGGGTATTTGTGTCCAATTCGAAGAACGTTAGCGAAATAGTGAAGCCACTGTATTTGTATTCGCTGCTCCTTGTATAAACCAACGCAAGAGCCCAATTAACAAAAACCCGATTTGACTCAACACATATTTCTTTCATGCGTTTATAACTGTGTCTTTATGAGACCGCACTCAAAAGAAATCAATATCTGTTGTCGTTGTCAAATCGGCGTGCGCCAGTCGCACGAAAGTCGCTCTGCTTGAAACCACTTAAAAGTAAAAAAAAAAAACGTTTTCCTTTACTACCAAAAATTAAAATTCTTATTTTAATTGATGACTAAATATAAGGGAATGAAGCAAGAATTATTATCCGATCAGGTGCAGAAGCTCTCCGACTATCCTATTTAATGATTTTAAAATATTTATTTGTAAGTTTTTTTTTTTTTTTAAATACAATCTCAACTTATAGTGATGCGATGAACAATTTATTAAGTATCAAGTTCCGGTACCCCCAACGCTCTCTCTTCTGCGACTATCCATCAATTAAATAATATAAGTAGCCCTTCTTTACCAGGTGCATCTAAAAAGTTACGTTTATAATCCGCTTAAAACACTCATTATGCACATATGTATGTATGTATGTATACCAAAACCGGTTTGCACTTCGAATAGGAATTGCGAGAACTTAAACTTTAACAAGTGATTTACATACCTTACGTGACAGCAAATCCTCAGCCTTTTTTACCTCCGCCACATATTGATGCAGTTGTTGTTTCAATTGTTCGATTTCAAAGTCGGAATCTTTCAGTTTCCTCTTGAGTGTCAAAATCTCTGCCTGCCGTTCGGCCAGTTCGTTTGATAGTCGGCTAAAATGGCACACAACAAGAAAGAAGTAAAATCATATCACATATATAACAAAGTAGTTGTCCGTCAATAATAATCACCAAGCAATTAACTATTGCTACATGCAATCAAATTCACACACCAATGCAATATATATACATATGTAAGTAAATTTACTAAAAAAAAACAAGCCAGTGAAGAAACATACATATACGGCAACTATGACCTTCTACATCCTATTGTATAACTAAACTATTTGGCGCACTACATATTGTACATACATATAAAACACTGAATGATGCCTAATTTTTTTTATGATTACTAGCCTATAAAAATGATAAAAAATTAACGTATGCACATAATTACATACATATGTACATTATGCATCACCAAAAAAAGTTGCAGCGTTTCCACCGGGATTACAAAATTTATTATATTTTAAGCAAATATTTTAAGCTTAAACCGTTTTATCATTTGAGGGGATTTTTTCAAAAAAAAAATCTTTAAGAAACTATTTTTATTCATAAAAAACTCGATTTTTGGAGGTATTTTCAAATCGGTCCAGCTCACTTAAATCTTAATATTTTTTCGAAATATTTTGGTGGACGTCTTAGAATATAATAGATTTTATAATTCCACTGGAAAAATAGTACCAATTTTTTTTTTGTATGGGGAGTGATGCAGTCTAATGTACATATACGCTCAAGTCATAGTTGTGTGCATTTAACTTTAAACAGTAGGCGGCTAAAAATTCGTTACTAGTGCTAGTAGCGCATTAAACTTACCCATTTTCCGCGATGGCCTCGTCTCGACTGATTTTCAGTGCAGCAATTTGCTGACGTAAACTTTTGGTTTCAGTAGAGGTCTCTAGCAGTTCGGTAGTACGTTCACGTGTTTTCAACGTTAATTTGCTGGAATTAGAGAAAAAACGATATTGACGGATCCGAATTTAATTTCGAATGAGATACGAAAGACTTAAGAAACGAACTCGAACTGGAGTAGGTGTAAAGGTACGTATGTATGAACATACAACATACATACATATGTACATAAGATGTATTTAAGAGGCTTATTGCTGACATTCATGCTCACATATTTTTAAAACAGACTACTTAAAAAAAAAAACGTTTCTTTTAATCCGGCACTTAACGCTTGAAGCAACCGTTATGTAAAATATACAATTTTCTCAATCAAATGTGTCAAGCGAATCTCACTCGCAGACTTATCAGCCATAAATCACTATTTGGCTATAGAATTATGACATTAAACCTCAATTACCAATTGATGTAATAGAAGTAGAGTGCAACACATTAGTAATGGATATAATGCAGCTCAATGGAGTGCTAAAGTCAAAACACAGACAAAGCCCAACCACGACGCTGCCAGCTGAAAGCATTTGCAGGAAGTTCATTCAAGCCAAAGCTAATTTAGCGTAACAAAAGTCATTTGTGGGTCACAATTCAGTTGTGCCGTTAGATGAATAGATAAATAAAATAATTTTTTTTTAGTAATGCTGCGAACCGAAATTAAGCCGAAAAAGTGTTTAAACAAAGCGTTGTGTGTGTATAATGTACACGTTGTTTTATTTGTTATAAATAATTCAACAAAAATTGCACCGCACCCGCTAAACAATAATTTTTGCGATCAAATGCTTGAAATGCCAAAATGAAGTACAAAAATCTGTCTAATCGTGATAAAGGTGCGCAGTTGCTAAGCTGTCACGATTGTTGGGAAATACTATTTAATGGGTGATTATATAAAAACAAAAAATAAGCGCTTGGTTAAGGAATTAATACTCTTTCTAAAGTTGGTGGGAATAATTTAAATGGAAGAGATCTTAGAAGTGGGATGGTAGTTGGGGTTAATATCTTAAACGAGCTAAAAATAACTTTTCTAGGCCAAACGCGAATCTGGCCAAACATTTTCAAAATCCAAACTTAAGATTTTTGATAAAAAAAACCGAAAGCATGAACAAAACTTACTTTTATATGGAAGAAAATGCGCAACACCCTCCTAAAAAAAAATTCTATAAAATCAACGGTAATTTGTAGCGACTTGAAGTTTGCACTTTATTACGCTAAACTTGAATGGGCTAAAAAACTGCATACCTGAAAATTTTCTAAAGTTTCTGATTAAAAAGTTTGAAATTTTGATGACAACTTTTTTAAGTTTGATTATTTTTTTTGAAACTTGTATAAGCTTTGAAACTTTTATTTATGTGGTATCTGATATACATAGATCGGCCTATATTTTAAAGGAAAATTATTAACAATAAATAAATAAAGATAAGTTACCAGCAGTATCATTTTAAATTTTGCTGCTATTATTTTGAGCGCCACTCTATGTATGTGTCTCGCCGCCGTTATCTACATAGTAGTTAGCGGGTGCACACTACCACTTGGTATGTCCAGGGTTCGGTCCCTGTACCTGGTCCGAGCAACATCCAAAAAAGAAAAGGTTTTTTTAATAGCGGTCGCTCCCCGGCAGGAAATGGCCAGTATTTCTGCCATAAAGAAGCTTTGCCGATTGAAGGCAGCGTAAAATTGGAGGTCCCTCCATTTGTGTTACGACAACCAACACGCACTAATAGAAGAGCTCGACCAAATGTCAATTTACTATTTTATTAATATCGCAGCTAGCGGTAACCTCTAAAATTGTTCATATGATAGATAAGGGTTTTTTCCTCATAGTGGTTGTTCTCCGTCAGGTAAAAACAAAGCTCACATTGTAGCTCTGGGTCATTCCATGTAAAAGAGGTAAGCCAAATAAATTTTAAAGTGCCATTATCCCTATTTCAATAGCAACTTACAGCTAAACAAAAAATAATGGACTTCCGATCAGTTTAAGCCACATCGTGGTGAAACCGAAGTTTGCGTTTTTCAGTAATAAATTTTTAAAGGAGAAAGACGAGTGGTCTAGGACGACACCCTATATGTATATGAATTTGCGATGTTTTTTATATATAAATATTATAGCTTCACTTTTTAGAAATAAAGTGATGAGGTATGTACATAATACATAGTATGTACATACCAAAAACTACGAAATAACTATTGTTATTACTCAATAAACAGGCCGTAGGTTGCTATGGCAAGTTGTTGTCGGAGCTATGTATTATCTACATACTATGTATGTATGTATGTACATCTGAGCACAAATTTACTTTAAACAAGAAATCAAAAAGGAGTTACCATTTTTATACCTGACACCGCACATTTACATACATATGTACATATGTATGCACATTAAAACTATAGAGGTTCAATATCAAGGCTAACCCCATTAGCTCGCCTTAAGTGGGACGACAATAAAACCGTTAAAGTAAAAACAATAATACATAAAAGATTGACTATTGACAAATAAGGAGTACACGCAAAACAAAAACTATAATTATTACAATTCAAACTTATTTGGCAAAAGTTTAATGATCTTTGCGCCAGAGTATCGACCAGCGAATGCACATCCGCCCTCACCTGTCAATTATTCTGTTCGTAATAAAGACAGTATACGTAATTAATGGGCTCCATATGACGTTCTTTAAAAGTACATTAACTTGAAATGAAGACATAAATGGATGAAGGTGATATGTCCTAAAAATAATTTGAAGTATCGCATGAAGTAGTTATTTTCTAAAATTTTCATAATTTACGGCTAAGAAATGTTTATATGCATATGACATCTTCCTCGTTGCATAAAACAGCGAAATATCGAAATTGCGACATATGTATCACCTTCATCCACTCATGTATTCGAATGTATGAGTGCATTTTAATAATTTGGGGAAGGGAGTCTTCACTGTGTTTTTTTTTTTTTTTTTAAAAAATTACAAATACTGCTTCAACTCTTGCAACGAAGTTAAAATATGATCTGTGAACATTACTAGCACATAATATTAAAAATTCCTTCTGAATTCATACAATTGTTAAAAACATGTACGATAGGTATGCATGTATACTATATACATACATACATACATACATACATACATACATATAGTTCATACGGTGCTGTACGAAAGCAAAGTAAGAAATAAATTTTTAAATTTCTAACAATGCTCAGAAATACACAAATATCATTTTGAGTAGTAACATAAAATATTTTCTTTTGCAAAAAAGTTAATTTATGTACAAACATGTATGTATGTATGTATTTTCGTATGTATACCACATAGAAAAGAAAAAAAAAAACATTCTTATAAGTACACTTAAAAAGAGCATCAAATAGTTTACAAAAACGCCATTCTTTTATTAAAAGAAAATATATAATGTAAGAATTAAAATTTGCATACATCTCTTTTTAAATGCTTTAGTTGAAGCGCTCACCAAGGGCTTCTTTGGCAGCAGCAAGGGAGCGCTTCTTTCTAATGACACACAATGTTAAAATAGGGTGCGTTCAGAAATGCATCAAGCCAAAGCATCAGAGTCTTTTATTTCTTAACTATAATTGATGGAAATGTTTTATTTGAGCAACTAAGTTCCAATTCGGTTTTTTAACCGTGGTTGCGCATATTTGACATTTCCATCAATTATACTTTAGAAATGAAAGAGACTGATGCTTTGGCTTGATGCATTTCTGAACGCGCCCATCCAATGAAGTATGAAATTAGGAAGGGAGTGTTTACTGCTGAATATGGAGCGCTCCAATAGAACAAATATGGAGCGCTTCTGGCCCTGTTGGGTACATATTGTTACCTTAATAAAGAAAGGCCCTAACTCATTTTCTTTCGAAACTACTTGTATCTTCGCATACGGCAGTTATTGACGGCTTATGCAGTTTATTCTTATTTAGACACGGCAATATATGAATTGGTATGCCCAATGTGCCTTGAAGTATGTCAAAGACATGATTAACCATATTTTTATTTTTATTTGTAGGTGTACTCACACTTTTCATGACCTTTACGAGTTGAACTTTATTTATAGTTTTGGCAAGACAAATGACAGGTTAATCTAAAACCGGAGCAATAGTTAAACTTTTGCTTTGCATGGTAAGTGGTCGAATTCCTCCATACGCTTCAAATACACGATTACGTGCTTAACTATTATATGAGTATTGTTAGCAAATAATAGATTTACATACATACATATGTATACTTGAAAAAATCTGATTATTATGATGATTTTATACTGCTTGGTATAAGCAGTTACTTACTCAATGCAAAGCAAGGCAGAAAATCGAATAATATTGTGCTTAAAAGGATTAACCGCTTTGCCCCAAATTTAATATCAATATTTTTCCTTACTACTTCTTTGAAGATGAAATAATTTTTGTTGACCGCATTTGACAAATTTGTTGTCAGTATGGCTAAGAATGGCCTTTCTTTTTGATCCCATCAATTCCTTTTCTGTTCAATAAAGCAAATTAACGTTTTTGCGTTTCATAATTTAGCAATAATATGTGTTGGAACGTAATTATTGTGGATTATCTACGGTCATTTTGCAAGCGATCATTATGAGTGCTTCATAAATATCTAGTAAGGCTTAGACTCAAACACATGAAATATGGAGTTGTGTCGTTATTGCAGAGGAGAGATTTGCGAACTACTTTTTGTAATATTATAATTTTTGTAGAAAACATACATTCCAACAACTTTCCTACGTGCGGTAGAATAGAGAATTGAAAATATATACAGTGGCGGAAAAATAATAGAAACACAAAATGTCGAGAAGTTTTGGGTTTTTGTTTTTTATTTATTTAATTTTTGGAACAAATGCACAATACTACCAAATCTCGAATTAAAAAAAAAAA